AATTCTGGAAACCAACACCATATAAAACTGTGGTTGGTGCTTGCAAGATTAGCTGGATATCCACGAGCATGAGAAATACAGCTTTTGGAAAAGAGGAGGGTTTTAACTCTGGTATGCAGCTTTGTACAGGTGTCAGGTTCTGGAGATGGAGTATTGCAGCATGTGCTGGGCTATGTAAATCTCAGATGCTTTATTTGATGTAAAAGTAAGATTGTCTCCTTTGTGTCATTGACCCAGCCAATGCGTCAAGGGGGGCATGTTTGTGTCTAACTAAGGTCATTCAGGAAGATTTATCCGTGAGGATAGCCCATTTTTCCCCCCTTGGACACCAAACTGTAGCTTCTGCTATTTATTACTTGAAGATTTTTTTTTCAGTCTTCAGTCCCTGAACAGTGTAAAGACCACATACATCCATACTGCCTTTCTCTCTGTCCTGCGGTGCCTGCTAGCTTGCCTGTTCTGCCATTCACTTTCTTCTCCTGAGACTGAAGTCTGTCTTCTTCACTGGGGTGTTTCAGGCTTGCTAAAGCCTACAGGGTGATTCCACTTACCTTCCAATCAGTTGACAGTGAAATAAAATCATAGGGTATTTCACGTTGGAAGGAACTTTTGGAGGTTGTCTGGTTTAGCCCCACATGCAGAGCTGGGCTGGCGTTGAAGTCAGACTCAACTTCAAGGTTAGATCAGGCTGCTCAGGGTGGTAGCTGGTGACGCTTGGAGTGTACCCAAGGAGAGAGATTTTACAGCTTCTCTGGGCAACTATAGAATGAAATTACAGCCAGTGGGAATTCCCAATTCCCAAGCCCTGTGTTAGTAAAGCCCACCTTATGCTAGTTTCAGGAGGGCTGGGGTACACAGGATATGTCTCCGTGGCTAAAGAAGAGCTGGTCCCTGTACCTGGGATGTAGTGAGGCTGGGGGCTTGCATCTGCGCTGTGCAGGGCTAGCTGCCACTGGGGCAGGCAGGCTGAAGCCGCGCATCATGGAGCTTGGTTCTGGCTCTTCTCTGGGTGTAATGTGGCCCAGAAGCACACTAATTATTTTGCTTTTTTTTTTTTTTCCCGAGTTTGCAGGACGTAACCACATGTTGCTGTCCTGTGGTGTGAGAATGTACAGGGGAGCTGGATGGTGAAAGCCATGGTGGAGGACCACAAAGGGTGGCAGGAGTCAGGCTGGGGCCATCCCATTTGGTCAGTTTCTCGGAAGCATGTTTTGGAGTGCACTGACACCCACGTGGCTCTCATCAGAGTGGGAGTCCCCATGCAACCTAAGTCTTCTCCTTTGGGGAAGAGTCATCTTTTTTTTTTTTAATAGGAGCAGTATTTACAGTGTCTAATTCTCTTCCACGACATGAGATCTTGCTGAGAGCCCACTACAGTGTTGGCTGAGGGATACCAGCAGTCATCTGCGTGCTTTACAAGTACTTAGTACACATCGCTGTCTGTGCAAGGACGGAGGGTGTGGTAGTTTCACCTCTCTTCCCAAGCCACAGCAAATCGTATCTGAGCATCTCATACATGGTCAGAAATTTTTCTTCCAAATACTTCATCAGGGAAGGGTTACACATCCCTGCTGGGTATGGCTCTGAAGTGCTCAGACTGAAGTAGCTTTTCAAAAGCCATCTGAGTGGCACAGGAGCACCCAACCCCTGCCAAACATGTGAGATTTATGATTAGCGTTTAGGTACTTCAGAAAGTCCCCGCGTCCAGGGGAGCCGAGCAGACAGCAGAGGTGCAGAGCCAGAGATGGTGAATGCTTGTCTGGTGCCTTTATATAACACCTTTCACCCTGGATTTTATGGCTGGGGGACTTTTCCTACCATGACTGCTAGCTTTTAGTAAAAATGACTGAAAATTATGAAAAGAAGCACTAAAAGTTGTAAATAAGCTTTCACATGTAAATTACCTTCCAGTATTGAAAGGAAAAGAAACTTTACTCCTTTCAGAAGTATGCACAAACACACATGCTATTTATGACAGAGGCAATAAGAGACCACTGCGTACCTTTTGATTTGGATTAAAAAACAACTAGGGGGTTTTTTTCCTTTAGTATTCAATATTCCTTTAGTATTTTCCTTCTTGGAGTATTGCTCAATGTTGCAAGTACTGCACGTAAAGGCTGTCGTTTGCAGCGCTTTTATAGAAAATTAAACTCTTTATGTCTCCTAGGTTTGGAAAAAGCCTGGTTTTCAAAATCAAAACTTCTCGCCAAGTTGGATCTGTAAATAACCCTTTAAGCAGAAACTCAGCATTGCGTCCTGGGACGGCTTCCTCTTACGTCCTCCAGCCTGACTGCCCCACTGTGAACAAAATGGAGTTATATTGACACAATTAATCTTTCATTAGTTAGTGTAGTGTCAAAACATGCTTTTACTAGCTTTCCTAAGGGCTTGTTTGCAAGCTCAGCCATTCATTTAGATATTTTCTGTCAGGGCTTGGCAAGGCTCGGTGCATACAGGAGGCACTGCCCTGAAAGACCAGCTGTGCAGGAGCGCTGGTCTCCATATACGTGTCCAGCACTCATCTCCCAAAAGGTCTGACTTCAAGTAATGTTTGCTTGTAACAACAATGCAAATGCTTTTTGGTTTTGGGGACAGTCCAGCCGGTTTTTCTCCAATCAGGAAAAAAAAATTGCAGCGCAACTTGGACATTCATTGCAGTACTAATAGCAAAAATATTACCTGGGTCATTGTCCAATTTCTCATCCTTATTACCCAGAACTGCTGCGAGCAATTTGAATTGCAAGTGGTGAGCTGGGGATTGCGGTGCTGCTTTGCCAGAGTTAATGTTATGTTTCCATGTGTTTTCTTTCATAAATTTCAGCTCTGCCTCCCTTTGTTAGTGGGCAAGAGCAGCCCCCCCTTCCACGCACACGCTTGGGACCCACTGTAGAGTTAGCACAGAGACTGGCATATGCTCCTCTTGCTTATTTATACCGCTCCCACTGCCATAAATTTGACGTTGTCCACATAGTGGAGAAAGACTTGTAGTTTCAGGGGGGCTGAAATGAATTGTCTGTGTTCAGTAGGAGATGTTCTGTGCAACCCAGGGTGAAAGAGCATCTATTTTCTCCCTGCTGTGTGATTAGTTAATGTTGCAGATGACTGTGTGCTCCAGAATGGGGGAATTTTCTCATGTTTATTTCTTTTGTCCTAGGCATCTTCAGTTATCTAAAAGCAAGCCAGTCCCAGGATAAGGACAGCAGCAGGTGATATAATGCGGAAACCAGGCCCTCAAAAAGGTGAGCAGTGATTCTTGGCACAGTCAAAGGCCTGCTAGCGAGCTGGTGCGGTCCGAAGGACAGAGCACAGTGCATCAGGAGGCTGTCAATGGGGCGGGAGTGTGGGGGACACGCTGGGTGCAACAGAGTCGTTCGTTTCTCTAGCAGTGTGCAGAGAGGGCTTCATCAATCCACCCTCAAGATAGGCAGAGGAAGAGTCCCTCACGGGGTGTACCCCTGCAGCTTGTGGGGCAGTGTCAGGTGGCAAGGGTGCTCTGTGGAGCCCGCGGCATACACCATCTGCTAGTGCTCCCAGCATGAGGCGAACTGGCACAAGCCTCCCCCTTCTAATGAGGCGTGAAACCAAAGACCTTGTGAAGATGAAATCTGTTATGGACGCTTATGTCTTGCCACCTGAGTCTCTTGTCCCACTACACTCAGTGGCAACCACAGTGCTCAGGGCAGCCGCACGCACACTACCCATGTCCTGCTTGCCCCAACAAAAAGGGTGAAGTCAAGCAGGCTGCCTGCGGCTGAGCTGCTTGGACTTCTTGTGCTTAGCAAAAATATTGATTTCCTTTAGTGTTGTGCCATGCATGTGCGTTCAACTGGAGTGATCTCATCACATGTGCTTTGGAGGATGGGGGAAGGGAGAAGCATAGAGGATGGAGCATCCTCCGCAGTTCTTTGTTCACATCTGCTACATGCTCACAAGGTTTATTGCAGGAGATTTCTATGCTTGATTTCTCTCCCCGCTTTATTTTTTTTAAACGTCTCCTTTGCTTCTCTGGTGGTTCATCTTACAGAAGCATTATCCTCTTCCTAACACTGCTTGTCCTTTAATGAAGTGAAAATAAATGAAGGAAAGCAGGGAATGGGGAGAGCCTGCTGCGAGGCAGCTGGAGGGCTTGGTAATAAAAGAGACAGGTTGATTAGTCAGCAGTGTGGCTGCAGACCGGGCTGGCTGAATTTAGCATCGCACACAGCTTGTCTCTCTGCCTCGTGGAGCAGGGCACCTCAAGCCAGCGTGGCTGTGACCTGTGCTGTGAATGCCATGCCATAGGTTGCAGAAGTAATACCTGCATTGTGCACACATGGGTTTCTGTCCTACTTACCTGCTTCTTTAATAATGCATTGAACTTTTCCTTTTTCTTTATTCGCCTGCAGAAATTCTTGTGTTTCTTTCCCTCTCTGCTGCTTTTGCAGCCTGCTTAATGAGGATTTTTGCATGTTAAAGGTTAAGAATAAAATTTAACTTCACCTGCAGAGAATGGTAAGAGGCTATTTTGAGTGCATGGATGCTATTAGAGAGCTATCCTGCAACACTGAGAGGATCATTGCCCATCCTGAGGGGCTTTTTTGCTTCTGACTTAAATACTTTGTGTCCTTTGTTCTTGCTTTCTTAAGGAGATGGCAGAATACTGTCCTTCCTGGGAGCATATTTATAGGAAGGGTGCCTTTCCGGCTTTTTCATTCGTGTCTCTCCAAGGAGGCTCTTTCTCTGGTCCATGCCTAGTGATGATGTGGCTACACTGCATATGTCCCTTATGGTCATTTAAGGGATAAAACCTACATGCAGTCCTCCTGTCCATTGTGTTGAAAAGAACATGTCAGGAAGAGAAGATTTCAAAAATAATGGTCCAAAAGCAATTCCAGACATCTCATGACCCACCGGGCCACTCTAGCAGCAGCTCATGGCCTGCCCCTTTCAGCTCCGTGTCAGGAGATTTCCTGTTTTCTTTTTTGTTCCTTTCACAAGGAACTGCTTTTTGCAGGGTTAACGTATGTTTCTTAGAGCAATACCAAATTGTTGTTTATAATGGCCCTAAAAATGCCTTGTAAAATAAATGGGCTGCACTGCAGCAGCACTGCCAGGGCGCATCAGGCAGGCAGCAGCGGGTGGAGGAGCTCGCTCAGGGTGGGCTCTGCAGTGGCACGCTGGTCTGTCATCCCTCTATTGGGCTGGAAGCTGCTAGGGGCAGGGATGGGCATCCCCTGCTTCTTGCTCTATCACCTTCCAGAACTGTCTTGGGAACTTTATTTTTTTTGCAACTCTGTTTTGCAAAGCTGTTGAGAGCAAAGACAACTCAGATAGGATGTTCTTCCGAGCTGGTGCTACTTTGCTGTGCTCTCCTACACGCTGCGCAGGGCACATGGTGGTAACCCAGTGTTCTGTGTGGAAAGAGCAGTTGTGCAGGCTTTGGGAGAAGTCCTCTCCCCATCACCAGAGAGGGTCGAGGCTGTTTGTGTTAGTAAGGCTGGCTGCAAGAACCTGGAGCTGATAAACGAGGAGTGATTCAGGCTCCGCTTCTCAGCATACAAGATCCACGTGAGCTGTTTTTAGCGGCTTTCACATTTGTTCCTCTCAAGCCTTGCCACCTCTTCACATAATTAAAATGATGAAGCTTTAGCAGTTTGCTGCTTTTTATGTTGTTGCTTGCCATTGTGGGAGAACACTGGTTGGTGAGGACTAGGCAGAGACTAGGATGCAAATGCAGGTACCTTGTGTCAGGTCTTCTCTTGAGCTGTGTGGAGGGAAAGGAGCACACCCCATAGGTTTAGACAAGTCATCCATGTTACCTGGGGTCATGACAGGGAGGTCACTCCTCTCCTCTGAGGTGCCTGTAAAGCAGGTGACATTAGCAGATCATGCTGAAGAGTGCATTAGCTGGCTTCCTTCACTGACATAAATGCTTTACTTCTTGTCTCAGCCATAGACTGGAAAGATGGTAAAAAGCACAAGTACAGCCGCCCGTCAGAGTCTCCCTCCCAATACCAAGGTAAGAGAGCTCCTTTCTTCCATTTGCTTGTTTTTTTTCCTCCTAAAAGCTTTTTGAGCTGCTTGGACATGGGAAACTGCAGTATGCCCAATTAGTTTACAGATAAAAAGTACTTTTGGACAGTGCTTGTGTGTTTAATCCTGACCACAGTCAAAAATGGCAGGGTAGACACCAGGGAAGGCACACAGCTGAGCCAGCTTGTTTTTAAATCAGGCAGGGTCAAGCAGATCTGTTTCTTGCTGCCCGGCTGTGAGTGCCAAGGGGTGACTCTCTACACATTTTCACATGCATCCTGGGCACAAGGATCCTCTTACTCCTCCACGAGCTCCTCTTCCACATTCACAGCAGCAGTAGCCCAGTCCTTGTTGCTGTAGGAGAGACATGGTGTGACTTGCACTACTCCTTCCCCAGTGGCAGGAATTAGGCCCTTGCCCCAGCTCAGGCGATGCCAGCTGGCTCAAGCTGGCGGTAGCAGCACAGGAGTTGGTCCCTTTTGGAGATGAGGTGTCCTGAGGTGTCCCCAGGCAGGGCAGCCTGGGGCCCTGTGCACAGCACCTGCAGGTTGAGTTCATAAAACTGGCAGCTCCTGCTATCTCTCAGGGGTGATAGGCAGGCGAATTCCAACTTTAGGAAGTTTATGTAAGGCTTGTATAATTTCCTAAAAGATTTCAGGCCCTTATTTTACTTACAGAGTATAACAATGTCCTTATGTCCTTATATTCCCCATGTCCCTATATTTAAGGTGATGTCCATAGCTCCCACCAAGTACAGAGTGACAAGAAACTAAACAATTGCCGGAGTTAAGCCATTTCTAACAGGAAATGTGTGTTTGGCTTCGTGAAAGGCTCACCTGTGTTTCTTAGAGGCCCTGGCAGAGCCAAATTGGCTGCTGTGCTTTAGGGGCCTGGTTATTCTGGGCCATGAGGTGAGACTCAGGGTGGTGCTTCTTGGGCATGTTGGACTGTGGGCCACCATCAGCTCTCACCGTTCTCTCTTGGGGGATCTCATCTGTCCTTGTCTACCCTTATACTGAAGTACTGTGGATCACAGTTTGGGAAGGACCTTCTCCAAGGAGAGGAAGTTTATTAGCACCTCTGATAAAGTCCTGGGTCCTCTGTCACCCCGTGCTGAGCTCCATGTGACATTGTGGGGCACTGTCACAGCTCACATGGCCTGTGTATAGCTTGCCTTTGGGGTGTTGGGGGCTCCATTGCAGTTTCCCCTCTGCTGCACATGCTGCACCATTTGCAGATGTCAGAGGACTGGCTGTTGTTCAGTGGCAACACCGACCTGGAATGAAGCTTTCTGTGAAATTCAGAGGTGTGCTTTCCCATCGGTACTCATGATAACCCAGCACACCAACCTCTGCACCTCACTGCATCCCAGGGCTTTCTGGCCTAGGGAGGAAACACTGCAGATATGCTGATGTGCACGTCTGCTTGGCAAGTGCATGGTGTAGCAGCGGGGATCAGGGATTGCCTCCCTGCAAGAAACTCTGAGCAGCTCATCACTGCCCAAAGCTCGGGTGTGAAATTGCAGCAGCTTTCTGGCATCAAGCACCCCATAGTCCAGGCTGAAAGAATTTCTGCTTAAAGCTAGTACTGAACGGGGACACCTCTGAGAAGCAGCAAAGCAGACAGCACCGTGGTGTTTGAAACCTATTAGTTTTGGCTTGCACATTCTCATGTTTCCTCTGAGCAAGACAGTGAGTAAGTGGGATCATGTTATCGGTTGTAGCTGTTACCAATGGAGAATGTGCAGCCAGACTGATGGCTGAAAAAGCCTGGAAACTATAATGGGTAGGATGTGCAGGGGCTCTGCTGTCACGGTGGGAGAGCTGACCCTTTGGGAGGCTGTGCCCAGACATTGGGGAAGGTCACCGTCGCCTTTGGATCTGCGAGCAGAGACGATACTCTGCTGATTTTCATACCGAGTTGGCTCAAACTGTGCTGCTTTCATGTGCTGCCTTGATGCTCGTTAGCAGACACACATATGGGCTGCAGACTTTAATGGGATGCCTTGATCTGAGTAGGGCACGTTCTCCTTCACAGATGTGACCTGAAACGCACATGTATTGTTTCAGTTGGATTGATGACCCCTCGGGAGCTGAAATGCTAATGGAGCCCAAACCAGACTTCAGTTAAAGATATAAACAGAAACTTTGTCTTAATTTAAATTCTGGGCAAAAGATCAACATTAAATGCAACATGATGAGAATCCAAACACAAGGGTGCAGAGTTGCATTGTTCACAACTACTGTAGTTTGACCCCTTGGGTGTGTGGAGTGTTTTGTTTGTAGTAAATATTTTTGAGGTTAAGACATCAGAGCCCAAATCTGACACTCTGCCTGCAAGTAACACCTCCCTTTGGCACAAGCGCACAGTAAGGAGCTTTCCAAAGGCAAGCAAAAGTGACAAGACAGTCGCCCTTAGTAGGCATTTTCACAGCCAAGTCATATAGGTTTACAATCCTTGGCTTTTGTTTAGCTCACAGATGTAATTACAAAAATGTGGTGTTTCTCATTAAGTGTCCCTCTCTTGTTTCTTCCTGTAAAGATCTGATGTATGTTATATGGAGGAACACAGTCTGTTTCAACAATCATCTTCCCAGTCTGTGGGATTATGGCGTGTTCTGCAGGGGAGCGGCGGGGATGAAAGAGAAGGCAGAAACCAAGCAAAACAGAGGGTGATTTTAGGGCTGGTGGGACATTTTGCATATTGTACTGGAAGCTAGGGGCAGCAGCAGAGCAAGCGTTCCCCTTTGCTTTTCGGGGTGAAAGAGGATTTCAGTCCCTACAGTCAGCTGTGTCCTTGGACACTCCGGCTCCATCACCAGTAAAAGGGACACTTTAGGACTGGCTGAAGTGCTGGTTTTTCATGAAACAAAGTGATTCACTGGGAATTGGAGAAAAGCCACCAGGTTTTTTTGACCAGCACTCAGAAAACGTTCTCCAGTGTTACCTGCCCAGGCCAGATAAGAAACAAGCATCTTGCGGACTAAACCATCCTGTTCCTCTAGAGTAAGGCATTCTATTCATTATTATGAATAAAAATATTGAGAGAATTTAAAATACAAGATAGCTGGTCTCTGCTAATGAGAAAGCCAAGCAAGATATTATCAGTGTTTCCCTCTGGCCTTGTAACCTCTGTACGCAGCAAGCCTGTAAAATGGCATCAGCCGGCAGCTTTGGCATCCGGGCTGACAGTGTGCCTGGCGTGGAGGCTCCAGAGCAGATCTCTTTGGAGCTGGGCGTTGGAAGTGAGTGGGGATCAATATGGTGGGCAGGATTTGGGTACGGTCCAGAGGAGCTAAGGTTGAGAGGGCCGAGTGTGATGTATCCATCTTCAACCACATGCGCTCTTTCTCATGTACAGATTTTGAGGCTTGTTCTTGGCTCCCCTATTAAAAAAGCCTTAAGTGCATCCTGCTTTTTTCTGTCTTATTGGCAGCTCTCCTTTTGTTGTAAAAAACCCTTAACTTTTGTGTTAATGCCATTTTCTTCTGATTCTTCCTGCAGTTTTTAGGTTGAAGCTGATCGTATTTGGTTGTTTAGGTGTACTTTGAAATTCCTGCTTGAAAATCATTGTATCGTGATACTGAATACTACTCCCGAGTGCATTTAAAACCATCCCATACATTCTGTGCAGGGCTTCCTCTCACACGGGCAATGGTGGCAGCCTCCAATTTCAGTATGCAATTTCTGTCCTGGTTTGAGAGTAATCCTGAAGAAGAGGCGCAGTCCTGAATTGTGCTTGTCATGCCATCTTTATGTAAAGAAATGGCTAGTAATGAACAGAGAAGGAAGGAAGGCTTAACTCTGCTGTATCAGCTCTGTCTTTATTCTTAGAGAAGTCTTTCTGCTGCTCCTGCTTTTCTTTGCAAAATAAGTCACCAGACCCATGTGTCATAAGTAGCTGCGTGTTGTGTGTAGTATTTCTTGCTAGTATTGCTTGCTAGTATTGTGTGTGTGTCTTCATACGGTGACTGGGTCCCAACAGGCTCTAGAATTAATCTCAAATAAGTTCCATGTCCATATACTATTTTTAGAGGCATACAGCTGTCTCAGAAATTTACTGCTCTGCTGGGATTGTGCAGCGTCGATTTTGACTGCGGCGTGTGCTGCAGCGAGCAGAAAAGCCCCGCTTGGTTTGGAGTGAGTGAAAAGTGGAAGGATTAAAACCATGACTGGTTTTAATAGCAAGGGATTGAAACCAGCTGAGGGGAGGGTAGGTTTCTTTTTTAAAATAAAATTGTCAACCACAGCTGATCCCTTTCAAGATGCTTGCTCAGGCCCTCGGGCTGAGGCTTGCGCTCCTCGCCCAGGTGCTGTCACCACGGGCATCCTCTGTGCTCCATAGACAGGGGCTCTGAAGGGCCACCCCAGTCTGAGATGAGCCCAGATCAGCAATCAGAGTTAAGGGGGAGGGATGCAGTGAGGCATTTCCAGGCCTGGGTTTGCTTTGGCTGGGTATTTATTGCACATTATTCACACAAAGAGTTTCATTGACATAACTGAGTGAAAATCGTATCTTCAGTTAAAGCAAAAGAATTTTATTTATTTTTATGAGAGCATCATTTCAGTGAATCACTGAATTTCTTCATTCACCTTGGTGTGAGACCGTTGGCTGAAAAGAAAATAGGTGCCAATGGGTGGAAACAGGCGCTCTGAGGAGTGGAGAGGTGCTGTCAGAGTCTGTAAACAGAAACATATTTAGCCAGTGTGGCAGCAAAACTGTATTTTTTTTGTTCATTTCCACTGTATTTAACAGTATGCTAGTCATCTGCATGGATGTGGCAAGCAAGCAGCATTTCTTTTATTTATTTGAAGCTAGTGAATTATCTAGCCTTTAAGGCTTCTCTGTGCACATGAGGCAGAACTAAAGTAATGTGTGCTGACCTTAATGCCTGAATTTTTAGGTGTGGCGTGCACTGCAGTAGCTAAAATGGCTCTTAATGTAGCTTTTGTTTTGGAAATAGACTGATTAAAAACTTGACATGAATAGGGGAAGGGTAGCTGACTCTTTAATTGTGCTGCCACCAATGCTCTTGAAATGACTTGAAAACAGCAGTCTCCCGGGAGCCATTCGGATGAATACAAGCTAATGTCATACTGGAAGGATCCTTTCCCAGCTGCTCAGTTTAAATGGCAGAAGTCATGATTTGCTCGGATCACGAGAGCTTTTAATTCGTCATTTAATAACAGGTTTCCCTGGATGGCATATTGCTTTTACGCTTCCTGCTGCACATGGGAAAGGTGCAGGCAAGGATAAAACGCGCTTCCCCCAGCGGCAGCGTTCAGTGGAAGGGGTGTTGGTGTTGGACGTGAGCCACTCTGTTCAGTAAATCCCCGTTTGGAGGATCCCTGCTTCCATCCTGTCCAATCTATGGACTCCGTGTCCGCTTCAGGAAAGTAATTGCTGACCTGGCCTCTAATTACTGGGGACAGGCTGATACCTTCTGTGAGCCGCTGGCTTGCAGGGCAGGCTGTGTGCATGCTGGACCGGGGGAACCGTAAAGTCAGCACAGTGCAGTTTGCTGTCGATTTGGGCTGCTTTTAGCCCACAGTGACTGTTCTTAATCCCTGGACTGAGCAACATGTTTAATGAACTATTTTTAAGGGGCAGTTGTCTGGAAGACTCCATGGATTCTCATCTGTGCTGAGTGTTTTATATTAAGTTGTAGGCTGTTATCCTCACTTTTTGCACACCCTCGTCGGCAGTGCAGAGGCAGTAAGATGCTGTAGGCAGCACCATGCTTTGTTCTGCCTGTCAGCTGCAGTTGTAAATCTGTGGTCACAAACATCAGAGGATCTTGATGAAAAGAAGTTGCCTGTGAGCACCTCCTCTGTGAGAAGTGGAGAACTGTCGGGGTTAGGAGTCCAGCCATCTCTCTCTGAAATTTTTGCTCATCAGTTCCTATTTGAATTCTTTTCTCTTCTCAGGTCACTTCACCTGGGAAAAATACCTGAAAGAGACATGTGCCATCCCAGCTCCTGCCCATTGCTTCAAGCAGGTAAGAGGGTGAATGAAAACAAGAAAGGCCAAGGGCGATGGTCCATTGGTGACCCAGGAGTTCTGTGCCTGCAATAAGCCCCTTTTTTGGCAGGGAAGATACTCAAGCATATTGGAAACTTGATAGAAATCTAAGTTTGCTGAAGCAAAGATAAAAAAAGATATGTTCAGGCACTTCAAATGTTAGAGTAGTGCAGAAGACTTAACTTCTGAGTGCCTGAGTAGGAACACCAGAATGTTTTTTCTCACTGCTGAGCACAGGGAGAAAATGTTCTGAGTAGGCTGTGATCCAGCTTTTGGTGGATCCTGCGCAGCAAGGAGATTTTCTTCAGAATTCACCAGGTCTTTGTGAACTGAATAGCATGCCCCAGGGCACTGGGTACTTGAGCACAGAGGTGATAGCTTTGAGTACAGGGGATACAGGAGTGAACTGGCATGGCACCCCTGGGTCCGAACAGAGGGGCAGCAGCACAGAGGAGGATCTGGTTGGGTCTTGGGTTGGATGGGTGATTCTCCTGAGAAGAAGGCTAAAGAAGGGTCAGTCTTGTTGTCTAGATGATGCAGTACTGAAAGACGGTGGTCTAGGTGACAGATCTGCCAGGGCTCGCCAAGCTTTCTTTGCAACTCTGTGGTGTCTGCTCCCATGCTGTGGTTGGAGGATGCTATCAGTCTTTGGTAGATTCAGTTTTGATGCTGTTAGGGCTTAAGCTTTATGGCTGAGGTGGTGCATATATAGGAAATCCTGTTTCTAACTGGGTCTCTGTTCTTTTTTTTGCAGTCATACACTCCACCTGCAAATGAATTCAAGATCAGTATGAAACTAGAAGCCCAGGACCCCAGGAACACCACCTCCACTTGCATTGCCACAGTGGTGGGTCTGACAGGCGCACGCCTCCGCCTGCGCCTCGATGGCAGTGATAACAAGAATGACTTCTGGCGGCTGGTGGACTCTGCTGAAATCCAGCCCATAGGAAACTGTGAGAAGAATGGAGGGATGCTGCAGCCTCCACTGGGTGAGCTGAAGTTCAACTGCCCAGCAAGTGCCCACATTATCTGTGGGGAAAACCCTAGCTTTTTTTATATGTCTGTGTTTGGGACAGAGACCCATGGACTGCACCTGCCTACCTCTGTGATGTAGACCAGCCCTGTTAGCTTGGGCTGTTAAACAGATGTATCCCACATCAGGTTTGTATTTCCACATGGACATCGTGGCATGGATAGGGAGATGCTTTAGAGTGTAGATGAAAGAGCTCTTTGCACCTAGGTGAGCTGCTTGCACCCTTTGCAGCTCAACTCAGGATTAGCATGTGCTGACCATGCTCTCATGCCTTCTGAAATTCTGCCTGCATACCTCAACGGAAAAACACATTTTCCATCCATTTGTGTGAAAGAATGCCAGAGCCACTCCGTTTCCCAGAGGACACACAAGCAAACAAGGGGCACCCCAAAGTCCTGGTGACCCAGGAGTGTGGGGGTAGTGTTGAAGGCAGGGCAACTTCCCTGGGTGACTGCCTGTACAAGTATGGAACAAATCCAGGTTCTTCTTTTCTGGGAGACAGCACACAGTCACACAGGCAGTGCTGGCACATAGCTCTAGCAATAGCTTGATCTCTGGCCATTGCCCATCACTTTAGGCTTCTGATCCTGCTTGCAAGCACTGTCATCTCAAAGGTGCGCTTGACATGAAATGGCTGCCATCCATCAGTGCTATGGTCCTCCTTCGAGCTGAGCATGGTACTGGTATCTGGATGAAGGTGCTTTGCTGGGGATCTGTAAATCTTGATGTAGAGAATAATCAGGAGAGCAATTAGAGCTGAGGCATCTGCTGTATCACTGCTAATCCTAACACTGTGATTTCAAAAGCATTTAAGTTTTCATTCGTGCTGTCTAAGTGTATTTGTGCCTGAGTGTCTTTGAGGCAATAGCAGGTTAGCTGGAGACCATCTGATGAGGAAACAGGATGTCTGAAAAGGTTCACAGTGATTTAAGTCCGGTCTCATGTGAAGGGACACTTGCAATATTTCATTTGTTTATTTATTTATTTAATTTTGCTCAGCTGCAGCTCTATAAATAACTTGGGAAGTCAAACACTTCTTCCAGTCTTGTCTTCAGTTAAACACACTTTTTTTTTTTTTTGACACTGGCTAAATTATGAGCTGATTTCCTGGTTCTTTCCTGATTAAGCAGCAAGATTAACCTGCTTTTGCATTCTGCTGCCCATTATTTTTGAAGTGTCTTCATAAATCTCTCTCCCAGTTAGCACATCCCCAAATAATATCAAGCCCATCTGTAGTGACGCAGGGAACCTTCAATAGGATACCTTGAGTTAGGAATATTTTTATTCATGTTTTTTTCCTGGTGCACCATTTGTGAGCTTTGGTGGAAGCACGGTCTAAGTTGCAATGGAATACTTGGGGCTGAACTTCCTGAAGAAGGAAGAAACATCAGCAGGTGCATGTTTTGGCACATCACACCACATGAAGCTGTGTGTATGCAGGTCTAATTATACCCTTTCCCTAACATTAAAGCTGCCATTTTTTATGTTACTTTCATGCATGCTGCTGTCCATTTGCAGAGATCTCTTTAAAACCCTGGTCCCAGGGTGCAGCTCACCGCTCTGGCACAGCCTGCCCAGGAGGCGCAGGTACCCGTCTTCACTGACAGAGATGGGTTCCTCCTGTGCCTTGCCTGGGTTTTGCCAGCAGATGGCAACAAATGTAATCGAGTTGCAGAGCAAAACTCATCTCCGACAGTGCCAGAGGGGAGGTTTTGTAGCCTGGAAGAAGTCAGTGTGCCCAGCTCTGATCTGTATCGCCTGCTTAACCTTGGACCAGGTTCTCTGGCACCCAGCATAAAGATAGGTAACAAAAAGCTTGTTCTGCAGTTGTCCTTTCTGCCTGCAGAGTGCAAGGGCCCAGAAAACACGGCAAGGATTTTCTGTGCTCCTTGTAGCATTTTCTGCTTGTACACATCTGCTGCTGCTCCCCTTCTTTACACAGATAATTGATGTAAAAGGTTGTCTTTGCCTCTCTGGGAGCTTAGCTCTCCCATCTCCTGAGGTTTGTGGCTAGCTTGTTCGGTTCCCAGGCTGCTTTGACAAAGTTGCAGGGCTGGCAGGGTGGCCTGTACTGAGCTGGCTGAGTTCTGGCATCTTGGCCCTGGCAAAACTTTGCCATGTTAATCATCTGTCTAGGTCCAGTCCCAGGGTTACCTTCAAAACACCATAAATACAGAAAGTGCAATGCAGTGTTCAGCTGAGCAGCAGAAATTGCCTGTAGAGGAAGATGTGCATTTAGCAAAGATGGTGTTTTGTGATATCTGGAGACTTTCGTTGGTTGTGCAGTTGTACTCAATGCCAGAGACCCAGAGCGTGTGAATTTACTTTTTTCTTCCCAGAAGCTCCTTCCTGTTATTTCTCTACTTTTTTTCACAGATGATGTCAAGCCAAAAATTGCCATCCTTTCCTGCAATGATTAAATCTGTTCCCCAGCCAAGTCACAACCTCTTTATTTCTTCAGGTTAGCTTGCCTGCAGCTCATTCTAAAAGGTAGAAGAGGCCACCCAGAAGCTGAGATTCCCTACTGAGGAAGAAATTCCATAGTCTGAGTGTGCACTTGCTGATTCATGTCTCCCCTGTAGTAGGATCATTGAAGCTGCCAGCACTAGTGCTGCACAAAGTGCTCTGCCTGTATGGTCAATGTACAGACTTTTGTTATGATAAGCAAATATTGCAGTCAAACATCCATTTCCAGATGTTTCTTTTCAACACCATGATGTTTTGCATTCAGAGTATCTGAAAGAGGTCAAACTTACAGTGTGAGGAGGAGGGTGGTGTGGGATCACAATGTGTGCCCGCTGCAAAGTTCCCATCAGAGCAGGCATGTGCTGCCCAATCCAGTGGCCCCCACAGCCTTAAAGTCGCCATTTCTGCTTCCTTCTCTGCAGGCTTTCGCCTGAATGCCTCCTCTTGGCCCATGTTCCTTCTGAAGACTCTGAATGGAGCAGAGATGGCTCCTGTCCGGATTTTTCACAAGGTATTTTACTGTACTGTTTGTGAAGACACCCTTCTGGCATGTCCCCTTTACTGCAGAGCACCAAAATCACAGCTGGCGTCTCATGTGAGATCTGCTGATCCCAGAGGAGATGAACATTGCCCAGCTTTGCCATGGTGCTGCTTCTCTAGGACAGATCCATACCCTCTACTTCTGTGTCATAGCAGTGTCAAGATGCAGACAGAGGTCTACTAAGAAAGTGGCTTGGGCTTCAGTGCTTGGGCCTGAGATGTGCTTGTTTTTCACTTGGGCTGCAGGTGCTACTTAAAGTGAGGGATGCAATATGTGAAAGTCAGCACCTCTCTGAAACTTTTTAATGTACCAGAGCTTGCAAGGAGTGCAAATATTGCTGTGAGGCAACACTGCAAGTATGATTTCATAGTTTGTATTCTCACTCCCTTTGTGAAGTCGGAGAGAGACAGAAGCCAGTCTAGAGGCATGCACTGTGGTATGGGACAGTTGGTGTGGCTTTAGTGTATCTCAAGTGTAAAAAATAGGGAGAACAAGCCCAGATGAGGATGGATGGCATCTAGCAAAAGCATGTCTAGCAAAGCTGAAGGTGGGGGAAGAATGATGGAGAGAAACTGTCATATCTCAGGTTTTCCTGCTCTGGGATAATGAGGTGAGAGGATCCCAGAGAGGCTTTTTTCTTTGGAGCTCTATTTTCTGCCTGTGGTGCATGACAGACTTGTCACAGGGTGTAGTGTTAACCTATCACTGTCTGGATTTGGTCCAGCCGCCAGGTGATGGCAGAGCAGTCAGTAGCGGACTTCGTTGCCTCTTGGCTTAAAGGGCACATGGTTGTGTAGCTAGGCCAGTGTGTGCACACCTACTTGGGGTTCAAATCCAGCCCACTAGCTCCCTTCTTCATCTGCTTGTGGAGGTGAGTTTTCTGATGGAGGGGACAGCCCTAGTCTGGGGAGGCACTGGCATATCCTCTTTGAGCACATTTTCAACTTCTTCTTGTAGGAACCACCATCTCCATCCCAAAACTTCTTCAAGACAGGTATGAAGCTGGAGGCAGTGGACAGGAAGAACCCTCACTTCATCTGCCCGGCCACCATTGGGGAGGTGAGAGGTTCTGAGGTCCTCATAACATTTGATGGCTGGAGAGGTGCCTTCGATTACTGGTGCCGATATGATTCCCGGGACATCTTTCCCGTAGGCTGGTGCTCGCTGACTGGAGATAATCTGCAGCCCCCTGGAACAAAAGGTAAGGCTCACATTGTTGCTTCCCTGTCTTCCTCCTCTACTCAGCTCTCAAAGGGCAGCAAAACAGGCAGAGGCCAGCAGCAAGGACATCTGGGTGCCCTGTCTGCTGCTTCATGTGTGGTAAAGGTGCAGAAGATCATACCTATTAGCAGTGTGACAGCCTGGCATCAAGGTGCTAAGGAACAGCTGTCCATAAAGATGGATAAGATGATGGCTCGCTGGAGGGATGGTGCTGTACAACATTGCTGAGGTCTGCTTCTCTTCAGGAGTTCCCTTGGAGTCTTTCCTGCGTCTTTAGAACATGCATTCATAGGGGCTTTTTCACAGGGCCACTGGGCTATTTGTGGATATAATAAGGGAATAATGAGAAGTTGCAGGGCTGCATCTGTTTGTACTTCCGACGGTTATCTTGCTCTGCCTTATGCTGTGATCTCTGCTGTGAACATGGAAAAAGCAGGTCTGAATCAGGTCGTACCTGCCTTGTTCCTTGAGCTGTGATTGTTGGTTAGGAATGGTATTGGGGAACTTGCTACCTTGCAAAGGTCCGGGCATTGGCTGTTGAGATTTTCAGATGTGTCTCTAGCTTGCTAGCATTGCAGTTGTGTTTAGGACCAGGGGAGCTGTCATTGTCCTCATGCACATCCTTCTGGCATTTGCTGGCTGGCAATTCCAGTCAATGAAATGAAAAGCAGGAGAGCAACCTCTCTACTGGAGCTGAAGGATTACTGAGGAGAGGCATTTCTGTGATGAGACTGTTCCTCTTGAAAATCCAGGGTCAGCTTGTGCTAACCCATCATGCTGGTGTTTTCTTGTCCTTCCTTGATGTGAGCCTGTGCTGCAAGGTTGGTATTGGGGTGGGTTGCCTGAGGTCATCTCGCATGGCCTGTGTGCAAGCCAAGCTGTGGGCTCCCCTCGGGTGGACATGATTTCTGTTATGGTTGGGAACTGAAAGGCGCTCTCGCTGTTTATCTTGGATTTCTTCATTTGGCCTTGATGTTCCCTGCCTCTCCCTTGCTTCCTGCTGTTTGTTTGCATCCTGCCCACTGCCACCCTGCAGGCTCCGCAGAGCTGCTGGGGACCTCCCAGCTGGTGGCTGACCTATCCAGCAGTGCCCTGGAGTCAGGAGCTCATGCACAGCATCTCCAAGGTGCTTCTTGGGTACCTCATGAGTGGTTAAAGACATGCTTGTGTTGGGTGGGAGCTTTCCTGGCAGTAAACTGGGGGTGGAAGGTTTCAGGAGCAAGGTGGAAGCCGCCTTCCTAGGAGAAGTGGGAACCTCTGTCTGACCCGTGGTGCCCAGTGCAGGCAGCTCTGTTCCCCTCCAGCCTCCCTGTGCCACGGGATGAAGCTGTGAGCAAGCAGAGCATCCAGAAATAACGCCCTATCATGGGGTGACACTGTGGTAATCTTGAGAAGCGTTTGCTTACCCCCTTGGCAGGCTGCAGTGACAGGCTCTCCCTCTCACATTGGCTCCGTCACCAGAAACTCTGCAGTTCCCACTAATGTACAAAAACAGTGAACCCCTAAAGTCACATCTCCCCACTCCCGGGCAGAGGCAGCCCTTGCTTTCCGGCAGATTTCTGCTCTCTTTGCCTGGTTTTCAAGTACTGTAGCAAAAGCGGGGGTTGGCAGAAGTTACATGAGCCAAGCAAAAGTGCCGTGGAGTCGGGATGAGCCTTGTCTTTGTGGTATTTTACTTTCCTTGCTGTGGCTCCCCTCTCCCTTTCCTGCCGTAGACTTTCCAATTTCCATTTTGTGGGATTCAACCAAAAGAAGGGAGTGCTAGGAACTTTTCTCGTCTGTAATTAAATTCCTCCGTTGTTCCTTTACTCCTCAGCCCTGCTTTGGATGAGGGTTGAGCACAGTCCTCCCAGGACCTGAGAGTGCTGCTCTTGGCAGGGTTGGAGGATGCTTCACTGCAGGGGGATCCCCCTTTCCTTCAGCTCCAATAAAGCTTCCCTGTATGCCAGCCTGGAGCATGCAGGACCATGCAGTAGAGTCGGGGAGGTTCCCTTTCCTGGTGAGAATTCCCCTTAAATCAGGAAGACCGGGGGAGACAGGCAGGAGGTCGGTGCTAACCACGGTTTTACTGGGCTCTGCTCACATAACGGACTGACTGTCTTTGCCCTGAGCAGATGGGTACCAGCAGGGTGAGGAGTGGAGAAGTCCTGCAAAGAGTTAACTCCATTGAGACTGATGGCTTCCTGAGCGAAAAGAGGCCTTGTGAAATGAGCTCATGTTGAAGGGAAGCAGAAGTTCAAAGAGGCCAGGCATGTTTATTTAATGCTGGTAACTTAATTCATCTCTAATCTGTCCCTTCTGCTGGTTGCCAACAGAGGTGGAGTGCAGGGCTTCTCCCAGGCACATCCCCTGTATGGCTCCAGGGCCTCCCACTCCCAGCAGTGTTTGCTTAGCTGGGGCAGCTGGGCAGGGTGCTGGTGGAGCTGGGACCCGGCCAGCCATGCCGAGGGGAGCTTTCAGGAGGGCACGTGTGTGTGTGAAGGGAAGAAAGGGAGGTCAAACAGTGAGGAGGAACAGCTCTCTGCACACCAGGTTGGTAATTACATTGCTCTCAGGATGTGCTGTCTTGTGGTGGCCTGCTGGGAGAGCTCCTCTGCAGCCGGCGGCCAGATGGCTGCAGACTCCCAGGCGTCTCCTGGAGCTCCGCTCTCAATGGAGCACAGCTTGGAGCTGGAGGGTTCAAATAAACATGCTCCACAGGGGAAACGTAGCTCCAGGGGTGCCTGCGCACGTGGTCGGTCCTGATCCTCTCTGCTCCTTGTCAGCCAGGGGGCTGGCGTTGGAAGTTGGCTCTGCTGGGCTTACAGAGCAGGGCAAAATGCAGCAGAGCTTGTCCTGTGCATTCTCGGCATCTCCATGCCAGCTTGGCAGCAGTTGGGGAAGGCAGGTCCCCATGACCATTCCAAAGGAAAGGGGGGTTCTGGGGGGCTGCAGCAAGCTTCCTCCAGCTTCCCACCAATGTCACCGGGGCACTCCTGGGGTTGTCTCTTGGGCAGGAATTCCCACTCCACTCCTCAGATGTAGTGTACAGCATCTTATATGTCTTTTCATGCCTCTTACACATGTGCTGTTTTACCATTAAACATACATCCTGTGCTTTTAGGAATATAAGGTGAGGTGGACTAAGAGCTGGATGGCAGCTTTGAGCTCTGCTCGAAGGGCAGACTGTGTTAATGGTAGTTTCTGCAGTTACCTTGCACAGGAGGTGCTCATGACTTGTGGGTTCACTGCAGAGTTTGAGAAATTAGCTTTTTTGACTATTTCTGGAAGAGCTGTTTGCATGTCTGTTCTGAGTCAAGCAGTCATCTTAGAGAAATACTGACAGAGATATTTATCTGTCACAGCATATATACAAAACCCAGCTGAATTAAGGTTGTGTGGGGCATGGAACCCAAACTTACTGCAAAGGTTTTGGACTTTCCCGTTGCATGGTGGGGTCAGATTTTCAGAATTAGGGCAAAACAGAGGAGAATAGTGTTTATCCGTCTTTAGATACTGCAGCACACAAAAGTAAGGCCAAAATACACTGCGTGCACATTACTAATGACATGGGTTTTTTCAACAGAAGACCCTGAAGGTGTGTTGGGTAGGGAAGGAATTATCCACATCTGCCAGGCCCGTGTGCTTTTCCATTTGAGTCATGTAGTGACTCAACTGACATGGTAGCAGATACAGTGCAGGAGGTAGCTGATACTTCTCAAGCTGAGAGCTTCAAGGTTTAGATTAAGTTTGTGACGCACATGAGCAGTGGTACAGGGCTGTGCACTGTAGCAATGCTGGGTAGAAATGTAAATTGGGAGGAAAGCAGAGACTGAAGGAGTAAAATACATAGGTCAGCTGTTGTGGGTTAGTCCTGGTGGGCAGCTGAGCCCCCCCAGCTGCTCGCTCACCCTCCCGGCAGGATGGGACAGGGAATTGGAAGGGTAAAACTGTGGAAAGTGGTGAGTTGAGATACAGACAGTTAGTAGGTAAAGCAAAAGCTGCACATGCAAGGCAAAGCCAGGCATTCATTCCCTGCTTCCCATGGGCAGGCAGGTGCTCAGCCATCCCCAGGACAGTCGGGCTCCGTCACGCGTAACGGTGACTTGGGCAGACAAACGCCATCACTCTCAATGTCCCCCTTTCCTCCTTCTTTCCCCCAGCTTTTCTTGCCAACCACAGCATCATATGGCCTGTGATATCCCTGGGGTCAACTGTCCCAGCTGTGCCCCCCTCCCAACTTCTTGTGCCCCCCAGCCTCTTGCTGAGTAGGCACCATGAGAAACAGAGAAGACCTTGACACTGTGCAAGCCTGGCTCAGCAATAGCTAAAACATGGGTGTGTTATCAACACTGCTTTGGTCACAAATCCAAAACACAGCACCATACAATCTACTGTGAAGAAAGTTAACTCTGTCCCAGCCAAACGCAGTACAGTACTTTTGAAAAACTTTTTGCAGGCATTTTACTTTTTCTAAACTTCCTGCTCCTTGGGGAGTCTGTGGGCAACTTGAGGTTTCATGGCTCTTAAACAGGACAGAAAAAATCCTGTTCTTGGATCGCTCACATAAGTGGAGCGTGGATTTGGAAAGCTGCTTTGGAGAGTCACTCTCCGTTATAAGCAGTACAGAAAATCAATACTTAGGATCGACCTAAAGAACGAGGATTGTTGCTTAGTTACTTTAAATCATGTCTGGAGAGAAAGAGGAGGCAGAGGCACACACAGATGGAGGTGCCACTGCTAAGGTTCACGGCAAAACGGATTGAAGAGGGAAATACGAGACTGTGATAAAAATCATGTGCAAGCCTGGCTCAGCAATAGCTAAAACATGGGTGTGTTATCAACACTGCTTTGGTCACAAATCCAAAACACAGCACCATACAATCTACTGTGAAGAAAGTTAACTCTGTCCCAGCCAAACGCAGTACAGTACTTTTGAAAAACTTTTTGCAGGCATTTTACTTTTTCTAAACTTCCTGCTCCTTGGGGAGTCTGTGGGCA